GAAAGACCAAAATGCACGGGTTTCCGAAGGAAGGCGAACTAGTTTCTCGCCAATTCGGCCTATGTGCTCTGACTTTGCCGTGGCAATAACTCTTTTGAAAGACCTCGAGGCAAAGTTATACTTCTTTTTAAGCATTCTGGTATTTACATCAAGAGCCGCCAAAGCCCCAGTCCAGACCTGATAACATATATATGATAACTCCTGCTTACTGCGCAATGCAGTCTTACAGGAGCGAAAAGAAGCCGAAAATCGAGTCAGCCGTGCATTTGATCGCGATTTTTACAAAATAATCACAAACATATTGTTTTAAAGTTATAAACAAATATTTACACAATGAGAAATAAACACACAAACTAAAGCTTAACTATAGTCCATATAAGTTTTATATAAATATAGTTATTTACAATTTATTTTGTTTCCTAAACGTACCAGAAGAAGTGTGCGCGCAAAAATTTGGCGCAAGTTTTACCTCGGCAACGTACCGTGGAACACTAGCAAATAGAAAAACACTTGAATAATCGATAAGATTTTTTAATAAATGTAATGTAAAAAAAATAAACGATTGGGAGGAATTGATTCTGAAATGAATTACCTATAAATTGATAATTTTTTTATAGAAAAAAGGAGTATTAGTACTTGTTTAAAATGAAATTTGGTTTGTAAAATAACTGCAAATCGAACGTAGTTCGGTAATTTTTTCTATTGAGAAAATTGTATTGTATCGTGCATTGATCGGGTGTATCGTAAGGAAAAGAATATATACATACATATATATATATATTCTTTTCTTTTATAAAATTTAGAATTTTCAATTAGAATCTAAATTTTAATTATTCTAAATGTAATAATTTGCCCATCAAAAACCAATTTTATAATGGACAAAAACAGGAACACCCAGCCTTAAGAAAGAAAAAAGAAAGATGTGTGCGTGAATGACTCGTGATGTTGAGTCACTTGAAATGCACGCTTTGCCTTTCTTGCTTTGTTGGTTGATACTATAGAAAATAATATTATTATAGTGAAATGATATACTATTACTACGAGTATTTATTAGACGACTCGGTAGGACTGTGGCTAAAAACAGGTGGCTGTTTGCTTCAGATCGTAGGTTCGAATCGCGAATAGACCAAGTGGATGTATATCAAACGTTCAAAATGTGGCCCCATACGAAACTATTTTATGTTGGTATTTTGTGAGGGCGTGGTCCTACCCCGGTCGCGCCGACCCATTCGTGCTACAACGATAAAATAGCTGCAGCGTGCCTCTACCACGTATAAGTTACACTTATCTTTTTTACTGGGCATATGTCGATTTGTTTCGGTGTGAAAAGTATGACGAATACTAGAATAGAGCTACAGGCTGTGAGGCATCCCATCGTAGTCCTCATGATGTGTCACCACATCTATAGCTTCTTTGTTGATTGCGGATGTCCATGGATTGATCAAGGATAGATTAGGTAGATTCGCTAGTCATTTTAAGGATTTGAAAAAAGTTTTAATAAACACATTTTCATCAGTAACTTTATAATCATCATCATCAAAAGCCTTTCCAAGCGATAAATGAGTAACTTCAAACCAGGGCTTTTTGTCAGAAATAACTGTATTTGATATTGCCTTAGATTTATTAGACCGTGCTGTTTCTAAAAATTCAACGAGTTTGAAAACAATTATCTTTGTTATATTCATTTCTTGAGAAACATGAGAGATAGAAATAAATTGAAATTGTAACTAACCGAACACACTCGTATGATATATACAATATATATTTTTACACAAATTATATTTGCTTGGAATGTTCTCATTTGATATCTTTGAAATGAGATCGTGTTTTAGATATTTTATTTTCGCTTTATTTGTTTTATAATGAAGTCATGTAGTTCACGCTACCCTAGCAATTACTGCAAAAACTTTCCATTTATAATTTCTTTAATGATTATTAAGTAAGTTCTTTCAATTAGCAAGTTTCGACGTTTCGTCGAAATATTTCAAGTCTCAAAACACTTCTAAGGGTAAAAACAACTTCAATACTCAATAATAATTGCAAACAGTTTCTGTGTCGTAGACAAACAGGCAACCTTTTTATTTTAATTACGAAACGTTTTCTTGCATACAAGTTTTTTGCAAGCACAGAATATACAGGTTCTCCAGTAAGTATTGGATAACCCCGCAGGTACTTCGGCCACTCAGAAAAAAATTAAATAAAAAATATATCTGCAGCAGTCTGGAAAAAAATTACTTATTTTTATAAGTATGAAATTTGATATTTTCGTTCACATTATTGAGTACTACGGCTACAAAGTTATTAATAACCAATTGATTTTCTCTGGGAATAACCGTACATTCACGAATTGCCTTTGCGCATTACATAATATTTCTAGCTGTAACTGTTTTTTAAACACTTATAAATGAAAATTGAAATTTTCGATTTTACACGACGTAGGATCTATTAATGTGTATTATTTATTAAGATATATTAAGTTAATCAAAGAAAACTGCTTATTGTATGAATTTTACGGTTTTTCAAGGAATATCTTTAAGTTTTTCGGATATAATATAGCCTAGATTATTGGCATTGCTCCTCTATCTGTTCGTGAAGTTTCATTACAATCGGTAAAGGTTAACATTCTGAAGGTTATACCGGACAGAGAGACATAAAGACAAAAATTATTATTTTTAAAAATGGTGGTTCATGTCCTAATGGCATGCGAATAACTCCTTGAGCTAAATATAATGCAGTTATTTCGATATTACAGATATTCTTTTAAAATATATAAAAATCTGTACAGACGAATTTCGTTTATATTCACAGATGTTTATACATTTAAAAAGAAGTACCTAGAATATACATATTAATTTAATAAAGCGCCAAATATTACGTCATCGCGATGTCGTTTAAATATTACTATAGGTATATGTAATATTTAAATGACAACTCTTAGCCTCAACTGGATAAATGCATTTACGTACACATCATCATCATCATCATTACAGCCCTTCACAAGTCCACTGCTGAACATAGGCCTCCCCCAAAGAATGCCACAAAGCACGGTCCTGAGCCACCTGCATCCATCGACTTCCTACATATCTTACCAGGTCGTCACTCCATCTCACTCATCTGTCATTTACGTACACATAAATTAAATAATTTCTATTCAACAAATTCAAATATAGCCGGGTAAAAGAAATATAAAAATAAGATTTTTAATGATATATTGTCGCGCAGTGCACGAACAATAGGACTGATACCTATAAAACGTTGGCGATTATGTTTTTCAGTATTCCTTCTGCCTCCTTCTCAAAACTGGACTGATTATATATATATATATATTTTTTTTTTTAAATAATATAAGGTTTTAATAGTAATATAAGGAATAATATAAGGATAAGCTCTATCTAGTTTATGCTTGTATCACGAATTTTATCGACTTGCCCGTTGAAGAACTACGCCCTCACAGAATACCAGAGTAACATGGCAGCTTAATGCTGCTGTGTTTCGTGTGGTGAGTGTAGAGAACCAGAGACTCTTTTTACTGGAACGAGGCATTCCATTTTAGTCTTCAGGGGTGACAATGCATTGGCATTTTGATTCTTAACTGAAGACTGATGTTACCTAGATGTCTATGGGTCACAACATCCACTTACAATCAGGTGATCTGTGTGCTAGTGGTGGCACCATTATTCTATAAAAAAAGGAGGATTGTGACTACGTGTGTATGTTTTTCTTTAATTTTTTATGTTCGATAAATTTATTTTTACATGCCTAATAACGTTAGTAATACTGTACAGTTTTAGTCATTTGAGAAGGTTCGTTTTACTTAAAATAATTAATTTATCGAAAAAATTAACAAAACATAGCTGGTAGGCAAAAAATATTTGTTTTTTTGTCATTAACATCTGAGAGAAAACAGAGAAATGTGTTTGTGTGGATTAAACGCCGCCCGGATACCCTTTTAATATTTTTACTATCTGGAAGTTTATTATATTAAGATTTTTCTGCCTTTGTACGCACTCGTAAAGAAGGGTTTACAACTTTCGAATGGATGTGCCCCGTATATAGCCCCTACACATTTCTTTTGTGCCGAAAACACTCTGTTTACATTAACAACGTTGCCACATATCACTATCCATTTCTTAATAATGATTATATGTAGCCATGACAGGCAAATTCATTAGAATATTCTTTGAAGTATGTTTCTTATTTATTTATTTATTAGATATATTTGTATAAAACATGGACAGATAAGGATGGTACAATTCTATAGCATGCAAATTTACATAAATAGCACATATACAAATGAAATTTTCTAATCAAAATACAAAACAATCCGACTAAAACATATAAAATCATAAATAAACAAAGATTATCAATTCATCAAAAAAATCATTTACATTTAACTAGAGAGAATAAAATTGATTTTCATTGAGATATCATACATATCTTTGTCTCATAAACTTATTTTTTGTAACTTTGATAACTACTGTTTGTGTTGTACTAAATATATGATTACACAGGCCTCCTTTCATTTATTAGAATTATGAAGCGCTTAGTCTGTCGCGCTTGTTTTATTTTTTTTTATTTTTAAGACATGCAGGTTTCGTCACGATGTTTCTCTTCAATGATGAGGACGTGATAAATCAGTACTTAAAATTGCAAATACAAATTTCATTGATGGCGATGAGGATCGAATACATATTTACGGCAAGCGCGTAGCCGCTAAGCTTCTGAACTTTTTAATACAAATTAGAAAGGTGTATAATATATAGTAAATTATATGTTATTAGTTCAGTTCAGTTTCAGTGAAATGAAAATAAGAGCAACCGAATAGAAAGTTTGGAGCCTCCGTACTTTAAACCAGTCGCTATTTCCACCAAGATCAGGTTTTTCCTAATGAGTGTCATTTACCTCAATATTGAGGAGTCCACGCTGTACTTTGGAGTACATAGAATTAATATGCACACAGAAATAATATGCCAAAATAGGTACTAATGTGCAAAACTCACCTGATTCATTGTTTTGATCGGGACCACTGTCATGTTCCGATTCGGATTCATCCCATATGGTGTCAGTGGCAATCTTCTGGCGTGAACACTCGATCCAGTATCCAGGCGTTGGAATCAGGCTATGGGGGTAGTCCTCGCAGAATTCATCTGAAAATCAAAATCGTTTTTATTCTTCAGGTACATGTTTCAGTCACTTACATATGTAACTGCTAGAAATCATTAAGTATAATGTTAAATAAAAATGTTATATAAAAAATCAAATCAAATCTGTTTATTTTGTGCACCTAGGTTAATTTATAGATCTTGATATGTACATAATATATAAGGTATAAGGTAATGTCTATGTAACTCCAGTAGGTATACAAAATATAATTTAATATAATATTTATTTTATTAGTAATATTATCAACGTCGCTCATGTATTCGTTTACCATGTCTAGCAAACGTAAATCTTATGTGTTAGGTTAGGTTAATGTTGGGCTATAGGGATATTTAGTTTCTTTTGCTTTTTGTTTTGGCTACTATTAATAACATCGCGGAAATATTTCTGATCCGTTACGATTTCAAAGACTTAAAAAAGGTATTGCTTGTGAGAGAATCCGTAGTTACCGAACCGTCTTTGTTTAATCATTTTATGGTTTTCTGGGAAGCTTTGTCTATAATAAAATTAGTAAAAACGTAACAATATTTAACCTTGATAAATGTACACATATACAGCTTCCTTTTGTATTTCTTAAGTAATATTTTTTGTTGAATAAAGCTACTTATACGGATTTTTCGCCAAAGAAGATTAGTCATTTCTTACCATACATCAAGTGTAATATCGCTCTACAAGATGCAGGAATGTACAAGCTTCATTGAGTATGTGGTTTCTCATATATAGGGCAGATAAAACAATATTAAAACCAGCGTAAAAGAACACATAGCTGACGTATAACACCAATGTTCCGGGAAGTCTGCAGTTTGTGATCATAACTTAGACGGCTCCCGCCATTACATTAGATTTGATAGACCACAAATCCGCGCGAAAGAACATCGACTCCTGCCAAGGATGATACGTGAGGCTATCGAAATTAAAAAAAGACATTCTAATTTCAATAGAGAGGGAGTCTGGGTACTAACACCTGCTTGGGATCCTGTAATTAATAAAATTAAAACTAAGCCTCAGCATACCACTGCAAGACTTCAATACTACTTACTGTAAGTTCATTCTGCGTAGATCCGACCAAAACTAATAATTAAAATGCTGAAGGTACTCTGGGTTAAGGTTGGCTTTTCCTATTCATGTCTGTTTTAAAATTGGTTTTTGATAGCCAAGTTATGATCATTCTTTCTCCTTACGATGCACTCAGTCAATACGTGATACAATAAAATTTTCTCGATTAAAAAAAGTACTGAACTATGTTCGTTTGGCAGTTTTTTTACCAACCAAAGGAGAAGGAGACGTATCCATACATTCTTGGGCTTAAGTGTTAACAAGATGAATGTGAAGGAAGGACCATTTAAAAGCGTATATATAAACAATTATAGCTGAAAATCTGGCAAGATTTGTTAATCTAGGAGCTGAGTTATTGTAGAATAAGTAAAAGTAAGATTATCTATTACCTACACGGTAACAGGTGATTTTTCACTGCTATTACACTGTAACAGGCTATTTTTCATAGAATAGAATAGAATAGAATAATGATTTATTTGCATTGAATGTAGGTAATAACAATAAGGTGTTGTCAGAGTACATAGAAGATCCGTACATTCTACCATTTTGGCATGCAAATATTAAATTAAATTTATTTCTATATAATACTAGTAATTAATTATAAATAGATTTAAAATTATAATTATGAGTATAAATAGTTATTAAATTATTATAATTCAAAGTATTGCATTATTATTATTACATAAATTTATATTGTTGAAATTTTATTGCAGTTAGCATAACACATAAATTATTAATACAAACAACATATTATAAAAAATTAATTAACTGAAACTTTATTTAAATATTGGTATCATTTAAGAAGTCCGACACTGAGTAATAGCATCTTTCCAATAACAAAGAAGTAAGACTCTTTTTAAATATTCTAATCGGTTGATTTTTTACAAAATTTGGGATTTTGTTATATATGACAGGTGCCATGCTCTTTTTTTTTTAATAAAGCTGTTTGAAATCTTCCTGTATACAGTAAATATTTATAGTGCGTTCTCAAAGATACCGTTCGTACTCGAGTTTCATTTAAGGTAGGAAATAAATGATGATTAATTTTAACAAATATCGCTATTTCTAAAATATACAGACACGGAAAAGTTAATAATTTATGGGATTTGAAAATAGGGACACAACTATCTGTTATCTTTAAATTGAAGATTGCTCTTATGTAGCGCTTTTGGGCTTTGAAAATGCTTTCTCTATCGCCACAGTTGCCCCAAAATATAATACCGTATCTTAAAATGGAAACTACCAGGGCATGGTAAGCTACTAGCACCGTTTTGACACTGACTTTTTTTGTCAGGTTATAGAGCGCATATGCAGAAACACTTAGTTTCTTACAGACATCATCTGCTTGGGCCTTCCATGTCAATTGGCTGTCTATTGAAATACCTAAAATTTTGCGACATTTACTCTTTCAATTATTTTACAATTGTAATTTATATTTAGATCTTCAGTGCGAATTTTCTGATAAAAGTGCATTATTTTAGTTTTTTTAATATTGATCAGTAAATTATTATAATTCAGCCAGTTAATTATAGTTTTAATCGTAGTGTTTATATCATTTTCATAAGAATCTTCATTAAGGCATTTTATTAGAGCTCTACTGTCGTCGGCAAATAATACCATTGGATGATGGATTTAGCTTGGGAGGTCGTTTATATAAAGTAGAAATAACAGTGGCCGAAGGACACTCCCCTGTGGTACGCCGAATTTTATTTCTCTATAGGAAGAAACATATTTGCATTCACGTTTAGATTTAATACATATTCTAGCAATCTCTGTACATTGTTTGCGGCCTATCAGATATGATTTTATTAGGTTAAGAATGTTACCTCGAATGCCGTATGCGTTAAGTTTCTGTAATAGTATATCATGGTTCACATAATCGAAGGCTTTAGACATGTCTGTATAAATAGCACATATGGGAGTGCTGGTATCTACACTAGCCATTACCCTCTTTAATAAGTCGTAAACAGCCATATTTACGTTTTTGTTTTTTCGGAACCCATTTTGTTCATCGTAGAGTATATTAAATTTAGCCAAAAATGCGTAAATGACTTTTTCCATTACTTTAGAAAAAACTGGAAGCAAAGCAATCGGTCGGTAGTTAGACATGTCTTCTTTATTGTTTTTTTTATTAAGTGGTTTTACTATAACCGTTTTCAGTCTTTCAGGAAATATTCCCGCTAATATGCTTACATTAATACATAATATGACTAAGAGGTCCAGATATGCTATTGCAAACAGATTTAATAACTTGCGTTGAAATGCCATCACAACCAAAACTTTTTTGTTCTTTAAAGATTTTATTATCCGTATTATGTCTTGTGGTATAGTTGGTGTTATAAATATCGAGTGTGGGTTATAATTAATTTTTTTGATGTTATAGGATACGGTTTTTGGTATATCTGTGATCTGGTCGATAAAAAAATTGTTGAATGATTCAGCTGTTTCTTTAGGGTTTGTTATTAACAAATCATCTTTTTTTATCTGAGAAATAGGTTCCGTAATTTTTTTACTATTATTTATTATTTGCCAAGATGTCTTGGATTTATTCTTTAAGTTTTGGATGAGATGGTTATTTGTGGCTTTCTGGGTTAGTTTAATTATTTTTTTGATTCTTCGGGAATACGTATAGAAATTGTTTTTATTTTCATATGTCGGTTTTAACCTCTTCTGCCACAATAAATGGCGCTGCCTTTTGGTACAAATCCGAATACCACGTGACACTCATTTAATTGATTTTTCACTACGTACTATAACCGATTTAAAAGGAAAACACAAGTTATATAGTAAAATAAATAAGTCGATAAAACTATCATAGGCATTATTAGGGTCGTCAGTGCTGTAAACGTCTGAAAATGATAACTGTTGGAGATATATATTGAATTTGTTTATATTCTCGTTGGACGTATCTCTTGTTGTTTTCCGCCAATATTTTATTTGTCTTAATTTGTTAACGTTTATTTTAGAATCTGAGCTGTATGGTCTGATGAGGCTAAGTCTATTACTTTGCATTTGCACTTTTGTTTCAAGTTATGAGCAAAATTGTCTAAACAGGTATTGCTGTCTAATCTAGTAGGTCGGTTAATTTCCAATTTAAGGTCGTAGCTTTAAAGAAAGTATTGAAATTCTATTGCTAATCTGTTCCTTTTTAAATTGTCTATATTAAACTCATCACATATTATTATACTACTTTTTCGGTTATTGCATACTTTCTTTAAAATAGAGTCTAAATTTTCATAAAATTTACCTATGTTACATATTTTTGGGGGTCTATAAAAACATAAAATTATCGTGTTTTGTTCTGTTAATTTTATCGTACAACATTCAATGATCCCTGTTATAGAGTATTTCATGATGTCTGGTAATTCTATGTACTCATGACATTTTTTTATCAAGATGCAGGCTCCTCCGCGTTTTCATTTCTTCTTGAATAGCTTGTAGCTATCTTGTAATTGGATATTTGTATTAATTTTTCATGGCCAGGCATTATGAAATGCTCGGTAATACATCTATATCTATTTGTATGTTTAATAATTCCTGAATATGAACCGTTAGTACATCAAATTTATTAAGAAAGCCGGCAATATTCTGATGCGTGATATACATATGATTAGAATAGAAAAAAAAATAGTATTTGAGCAAGTGGGAATAGCTTCTTTATTGACTTTTATTTTAATATCTGGAGATATTTCTAGATCTAAGTTAGGCTTACTTATCATTATTTGTATATTACTCATGATATTCTTTAATCCATAGTTATTTAATCTCCCACTATATTTGGAAAACATACTATAATTGTAGGATAGTTCAAGATTAGAATCTAATAGCTTTGCGTAGTTAAAAGTGTTGAGATCTAGGTACAATAAATTATTAAAAGTTTCTATCCTCCAATTAAACATATCGGAATAATCTTTACATTTGTATGTTGGAA